TTATTATAATATATAATAATATTATTATTTATATTTTGGATCTGAATATTCACTTTTCAGTTGCCAGTCAATACAACTCTTCTGTTGTAAGAGCCTTAGTGAAAGCAGTGTCTGTTTCAGAGCATGAGTTTGTGTGTGTGTCTGCACAGAGCTGATTTCTGCATGAGATCCACACTGGGACATTTTGTACCTTTTTCCATTTCTAACTTGCATTTGTAACTCTGTGTGCACTAGGGCTGGACATGAAGCCCAATGAGAGATGCTGCTCGTTTGATGGTGATGCAGATAGAATTGTTTATTACTATAAGGACACAGCTGGCCATTTTCATCTAATCGATGGAGACAAAATAGCAACTTTAATTAGTATCTTCCTTAAAGAGCTTCTTGCCAAGGTAACTCCAACAAAGGAAATGGATGCTGACACTTTAATTTGTACAGTGCAAAATAGTCTAAGGAAGCCATATTCGTTTGTATGTATGCGGTCTCTCTAATTGACCTGAAGAGAACCCAGTTTAGAAAGAGATCAGTCCTGTACCTCACTGGTGTGGCCACGATACTGTTTTTACAAGGGTGTGACTTCCACACCTCAAGTAATAATCTGAGCACTGATATTTTAACCTGGAACCTTTTTATAGTGGGAGAGAACTTTTCCAGTTTTCAGTGTGCAAAGTGTTGATATTCCATTCTCTTTGTTTCAGAATCTTTCATTAATTTTGGGTTCAGTCCCAAACATTTGGGACTGAACATTCAACATTTCTGTGAAGCTTTATGACTGCTGGGCATTCCATTTGCATGAAAACTTGGTTGTGGCAGTCAAGGGCTTTGTATGTCATCCTTCCAAAACCACTGTCTGCCACGCAGCATCCTCTCCCCACAGGGGATAGAGAGAAAAAGCTTTTATTTTTCAGAAGTCTTCTTAGACTTGGTGTCCAAGACACTAAACCTAGACGAGGTGACCTAGTTCTGTTTTCTTGGAGACCAGCTCATTTCTTACACTGTGGCAGAAAAGCTGGCCAGTGAGGAGAACTTGTGCTTGCCACCAGCCTTTGCTTGCTTTGCACTGGAAGCTCTGACTTCACTGCTTGTGTATATGGAGGGCCTCATGTAATGCCACGTGTCTGCCCAGTGCACTGACCTTGCTGAATCTGAAAAAGAGGTTTGGAGAGCTTAAGCCTGCAGAGCTGCTTCAAGCCAGCCACAAAAACTATGATACTGATAGATTTGAACAGAATTCATGTTGTCTTAAACATTCAGAAGGTCTCTGTGAGCTGGTGCCTTCCTCTGATGCCCAGGAGTTTTGGGTGTCTGTGGGAGAACGTATGTTTAATAATTCCCATTATCCTTACATTTACCCTGCCCGTCTGTGATGCGCCTCTCGGGCAGTGAAGCACTTTGTGTTTTGTTTCGCTCAGGTGGGACGGACCTTAAAGATGGCAGTGGTACAAACAGCGTATGCCAACGGGAGCTCGACACGCTACCTTGAGGAAACACTGAAGGTCTTGTCCATTTTTTTCCTGGTGGTTTTCTGCAAATGTTGTTTACTGCCAATATGTTCCCTTTTAAAATGAATGCCTCTGTAATATGATTGCTAGCAAAACTTAAAGTAGGCTAAAATAAATGATTCTCTCAAACCTGCAGTAGCAACTAAATTCTTGGTAGTAAAGAAGACAGCAAGGGAACAAAGCTGAAAAAGTTCTAGTCAGCTTTCGCTAGTTTAAAATAAAAGTTTGGCAAAAGCTAAACAAAATCCCCTGTTACTTCTGGAACAAGTTGAGGACTTTATGGCTTTGCAACAAAATGAGTCCCTAAAGGCTCCTTGATACTTTGACACTGGTTGTTTCATCTTCTGCAGCAGGCTAAATGTTCACTACAGAAATTGAGCTAAGATATTATTTCAGTTTGGATAGAATTCTCGTATGTTCCCTGAAACCATAAAATGGATTAGGCTTTTATTGGTTTGGGGTTTTGTTTATTTATTATTAAAACCAAACAAACAGCCTTTATTTCCATTTGAACAAATGAAATCTTTTTAATTAGCTTTGCAGGAATAGCAGATAATTTTAGTTCTGGGCAGTCAGTAGTTGTGAAACACGGGTTAGTTTGCCCAGGTTGGTGCTCAGCTCCTGGCGCTTTGCCTGCAGTTCCTGTCTATGGAGAAGAGTCTGTAACACTGTTTACATTCTCTGCATATCCTTGGGCTGCAGGTGCCTGTGCACTGTGTGAAGACAGGAGTGAAACACTTGCATCACAAGGCCCAGGAGTTCGATGTTGGTGTTTATTTTGAGGCAAATGGACATGGCACAGTAAGTAAGAGCATGTAATGCATAAGATCAGCCACTATGTACAAAATTTTAGTTGGATTAGCTGGAAAAGGAGGTCTTTTCACTCTCTGCTTACCTTTATAAACAGGACTTTTCTCTCCTTGTTTGAGAACAGTCTTGTTTCCCCTTTCTGTCTTTATCATAGGATTATCACCACCTCCTCTTTGTTTTATGTGGGGATGGGAATTCATGGTAGCAAACATTAATGATGGTTATTTGGGCTTGAATGGTAAAAGTTTTTTCCTCGTTGCTGCACGTGTCCTAGTTCGTGATGTGGGCTGACCTTGACAAGCTCTCATCTTTTTATTCTAGGTATTATTTAGTAAAGCTGCTGAAACTCAGATAAGACAACTGGCAAAAGAGGAGAAAGATGATGAAAAAAGAGAAGCAGCGAAGGTGCTTGAAAACATGATTGACCTGATTAATCAGGTAAAAACTGAGGGAAGCACATCAATCACTGTGGTGACAGTGATGGGACTAAGCATGTTTGTGAGTACCTGTCAGGCTACTTCCAGGGGCAGCAGGAGCAGGAAAAAAAACCATGATAGAAGGTGCCAAGAAGAAAAGGGCAGGAACAGTTGTCTTTAGAAAAATGTAGCACTTCCTCACAAGCGGATGCAGAGTGCTTTCCTCTGCCGCAATCTGCTTGCTTCAGGACCCAGAGGGGGAGTGGAAATAGTGTGGGAACCTAGTGAGAGGATGCAACTTGTTCATGATTCAACAGCAAGTAATCTTTCATCTGATGTTTTTCACTAACTTGTGCGGTACGAGAGGTTGGGGGTGTCCCAGTGCCAATGTCCACACAGCCCTGGAGCTCCCTGTCTCCACACAGATGTTACTCCCCTGGGGTAGTGCCAACTCATACTCCACAGGCCAGCTTTACATCCTGACCCCAGAACAAAGGTGAGGTGCCAGTCCTCCTTAGCAGAGGTGAGGACTAGCTCTTGCCCTTGGCAGGCCTGTACAAGTAGGCTGCTGTTCTCCTCATCACAGGGGCAGTGTGGTCAAGAGGGAAAAATAAATCACCACCCCCCCTAAACCGGCTGGCCAAGCTCAGCTACCCAGACTGAGGAACGTCAGCCTGGCTGTGTTCTCGTGCTCTTCAGCTGGAAGCTTACTGATCAAATCACGCCTTCCTGTCTTCACTGTTGACTGCTCCAGTGTTTCTTCCCTTTCTGTTAACAGACAGTTGGTGATGCTGTCTCAGACATGTTGGTTATTGAAGCAATCCTGGCCTTGAAGGGTCTGACTGTGCAGCAGTGGGATGCCCTCTACACTGATCTTCCCAATCGGCTGCTCAAAGTTCAGGTGAGTTACACACCAGGCCAGGCTGCCTCAGGTTACGGCAGGCACGTGGGCCCCTGCTGGCAGCAGCTCTTGCCTGCATATACCTAGATAAGCTTTATTTTGAAGCTGAAAAGCCCATTAAAGGGCAGAGGTGGGCCAGACAAGCCATGAAACAACACAGAGGAGGGACCAGAATTTCACTTGGACTAAAATAAAAATATGATCTATATAAATGCTGAAATAATAGCCAACTATGTTAAATAGAATTTTCAAATTTTAACTTAGAATTTCTTTCTTAACTTTCAAATTACACAATTCCTAGTTTTCTAAGGCCCCTGCCTGCTGGGCAGACAGATTTTTCTTGCTGTGCACTTTATATAACTTCAATATTCAAGCTCTTACTTCTTTATCTTCTCAAATATTCAGATAAAGAGCTTGAGCAGCATTCTGTTAAGACAGAGGAAGCTCTGGGTTCTGAATTAACCAGAGAAGAGAGCTTCAGCTTTCTGATACAGAGGGAGAAGCTGCAGCTCCAGTTCAGAGGCTGACCAAGGAGTCATCTTCAGAACTGACCCTTTGTCCAAACCAAGCAGCTGAGTCCTGTCAGGACTTGGTTAAGGTGTGCTGAGCGGGGATCCTAGGGATCCCAGAGTGTTGGAGTGCAGCAGGCAACTCTCCTTGAGCAATTCTTCAGGCAGTGCAGCACATCAAAAGCTGAAGTTCTGTCTTACCCGTGACCTTTTTCATCCTGCTCTCATCATACACCCTCCAGCACACAAATAAATAACTGGGCTGTTTCTGATTCTGCAGGATGCAGACAGGCGAGTTATTGACACAGCGGATGCAGAGAGGCGGGCGGTCGCACCTCCGGGGCTGCAGGAGAAAATTGATGGGCTTGTACAGAAGTACAGATTGTCACGAGCGTTTGTCCGGCCCTCGGGGACAGAAGATGTCGTTAGAATATATGCTGAAGCAGACACCCAGGTCAGAGCTTAAACAGCTTCTACAGGAAGTAGATTTGTTTATGGTGTTAATCAATCTTTTGCTTAGCATTGGGTGATGGAGGGAGAACTAAGTTTACATCCTTCATTGAATCACACTTAACAGGTGCTAAATTTGGGAAAAAACTTAGTGATCACAGAGTCTCTTTGGATTTTATTCATAAAATGATGTTTAGCATTCTTAATGTTTATCTTTAAAAGTTAAATGTTTAAAAAGGTAGATTTGACACTAAATTATTTTGAAAATAAAATCAGCCTTCTGAGAACTCAAGAAGAAGGTTATCAAAGCAGCCAATAACTGCATGATTTCATAAAAGGCAAAATAAAAAACAAAACAAACTTTTGCTGCTATTAAGAATTAGTTCACATGTGAACTTAGTTTCCAGCAAAAGCAGTGCTCCTCCTCTCCCTGCTTCCCCTGCTCCTGCCTGCTTCTTCCTGCCAGTGTGACCACAGCAGCAGAAGATACACAGCACTTGCAGGAAAACACGTGCCTTAGAGCAATTACATGATCTGAACCCTCTCATGCTGCCACTACTGTAACTAACTTTTAAAACATTCCACAGGAGAATGCGGATGCCCTTGCCCATGAAGTGAGCCTGGCTGTTTACCACCTCGCTGGTGGAAGAGGAGCACCACCCCAGCCTATATAACAAGTGATACAACTGCCCTTAAAGTTCATCATGTGACTTCTTTTTTTAATATTACTTTACCATTGGTTAGTGCAGACATACTCAACCCTTCCTGAAAGTAACAAGGTTTAATCAGAACTGAGGGGAATATTATTCCACTTATTCTTTACCTCTATTAGCAACTCACCTCTTAATGAGGCACTCTTGCTGCTGAATCGTTTCCCCTCACTGAGGTTGTCTGACTTCTTGACAGGCAGCAGCCTGGTCCTGGCCTGAAGGAATTCTGCCCCACACCCAACTTATTTCATCAGTTAAGTGTCATGTTGTGCCTGAAGTCCAACTCCTGCACCCCAGCACACTTGCACCAGCTGCATTTGACTTGAGCTCTGTTGTGACTGCTCACAGTAGCTGCAGTGCAACATCCTACTGCGGAAACATCATCCCCACCTTCCCACAGCACCCGAATCATCTGTGGGCAAACAGTACAAGGCAGAGGAGGACACTGCTCTTCAGATTCAGTTCAAGGGCGAAACAATATAATGTAAAAGAGAATTTGCAAATAAAAATGTATTATTGCAATAATATCTTCATTAGATAGATTTATGAAATTAAAGTATTGCTTAGAAAGTAACTTGCAGTAATTAATAGTATTTATAATCACTTTTAAGAGGGATAGAGACAAGTTCATCTTCTGTTGCAGTTACTCCTCCCCAGCAGTGGGAAGGGCAGGGCCAACAGGCTCTAGTGTTTTAAATACACAAATATCCTTTTCTACATAGTACATTTCAAGCAGCCACCGCTGAGTGACATATTTTTCACTGTAATCCTATATTAACTCCCACAATGATGGCATTGTCCAGATTGGTAAATAAGCACAAGTTCCAATGGATTAAAAAAATAAAAAAGACAACAATAAACTGGAGCCAAATTGAAAAAATGTGCACCTTGTATTTTTTTTAGGATTTTTTTTTTAAAGACAGAACTCAAGACAACAAAACATGTACTGTAAATAGTAGGCACCATAATCAATATGAGCCACCAATATTTAAACTTGATTCAGGCCACATCCAGATTTTTTCTCTTATTTACAAATATTTAACTTAAATACAACATTAAGTATTTCATTACATACAAAGTAAGAAAAGAATACTATACAACTGGGAAAGATACAGTATCCATTTAAATAGTTACACTACATAGTACCAGTTTGGTTCATGTTTTTATGATGCCTTCAAGAAAATCCTTCTCAACCATTTCTTCTATCTTTTGTCTTGCTTTGCTGGAGAAGGTCTTGAGGTTCTCCATTTTTATGTCCTTACTGGGAAAACAGTTGGGGTAAAGGACAGGGCTCCCTGAGTGTCCAACGCATCTGCTTGTGACCTTGCTGTTAAAAACTTGGCTGAGTACATTGAAGAAAGGCAAAAGCTGCTCAATGCTGCGAACAGTGTAGATGGTTAAAAGCAAGTGACCTGGTTCCCAACTTAGTGTTTTCCCTGAGCTGTCCTCCTCTGGATTTTTCTGTAAATACAGAGAAATGGGAAATAAGACAGGACAAAACACAAAAAGCACAGGTAAAATTAAGAGACTAATGCCCAATAAAGTATTTTTCTGTATTCCAAAAATATTTGTCCTAACAATAAAACATGTTTGCTGGAGCACAGCTTTTGAAGCGGATCTCCTGCTCCTCCCCTCACCAGGCTTTACAGCAGCAGTGGCTGGGGGCACACAGGCTGGCAGTCTCTCAGCTGACACTAATGGGAAAGCTGCGGTGGGCCTTGAGTCCCCTGCCTCAGCGCAGGGCTGCCCCAAAGCAAGGCAGCCCCCCTGCCCCAGCACCCCCCTGCTGCCCTGTGGAGCTGCTCCCTGGGCAGCATCCCGCTGGCTGGCATCAACAGCCCTGGTGACAACCAGTATCACAGCTGCTTGGGCAAGTTGTGTGCTACTTCTGCTGCTTTCCAAAGCAGGCTGGGCTGTGATACCACTCGCACTTCACCCTCCTGCCAGCATTAGCGATAACAAACCCCAGAGGAAGCTAAAATAGAAACGAAGCATTTTCACTTTGAAGCTAGAGCTCAGAGTTTTCAGGAAGAGCAAAAGCAGTGCTGTTTGTAGCATCAGAAAAAACACACATGGAGGCTCTGAGTGAACACTTGAAGTTGTCCCCAAAGGCAGACAGTTCAGTTACTCATTGTGTGTTCTCAGAAGACCTCAGTTACACACCTTCCATTTCACAGGGGGACTTTCAAGGGAGAGAATTTCCGGAACCCCACCAGCAAAGGCAGCAGTCACACACCAGATGCTCACTGGCAGTGTCAGTACACCGCTCTAACCCTCTATAGGGTTGCCTTAAGTATCTGCACACTTAAATACCTGAGCACTAACATCCAGCTGCTTACTCTTCACTCATTGCTTTTGTTTCCTTTGAGTCAAAAACCATACCTAGACAATAAGGTACTATCACCACTAGAAACACTGAGTTTGGAGTGTTACTGACAAAGCAGAATGGGAGAGCTGCTACCGTGAAGGACAGTTCCAGCAATGCTGGTTTTTAGTCTGTGAGGAAGGAGAAAAGAAGCACAAAGGCCACATCAAGGAGAGCCACCTCCTGATCTGCCTCTGACCAGCACCTCCCCACTGCCCTGGCAATGCATGTGCCGAGGCTGGGGTCTGAGACCCCCGCAGGCTGCCCAGCTCCTGCCAAGCAGGCTGGCAATGAAAGGAGAGCGAAGGGGAAACGGCAGCAGTGGGAGCAGAGTGTAAGGTAAGGATTACTGATTGCACAGCCTCTGAGCAAAACAGATTTTCTTCAAGAGATGATACTTTAGCAAATACAGTTTTTGCCCTTTAAATGAAGCAACTGTCTTTCAGGAGCCTGTGACACCTGTTTCACAAAAAACAATCAGGTTAAAATCAAATATGGACGTATTTAGTATTTTAATCTGGCGGTTTGGCTTCCTGTCACAGGAGATGATTACTATTCTAGCTCTGCAAGTCTCAGGAAAAGAAAGGCTCCTAGTGAACTAGAACAAAGGGAAGACTGCATTCCAACACAGAAAGAGTCCTTGATGCCTCCTACTTTTAATGAACCTACAAGTCTTCAAAGCTTCTCCTTTAAAAACTTCACATGGGATGCACAGAAGAGGCTTTCCCATACGGGTTCTCCATCACACTTAGTATTACTCCGTGGTGAGCATGGGACGACCTCCAGCACGCAGCAAGTGTCGGTGTTACACAGCAGCCAACCAAGTGGGGTGCATGTGCAAATACTAATTCTCTCTCTGAGCAATGAAATACAATCCATCCAAGCCATTTCCTCACGGCACTATCTGCTAAGCAAACACCACTAATTCCTCAGATACTTAAAACAACAGTTAATTTGACAGAGACCAATTAGGGATTTTGTGTTTCACACCTGTTGTTGGCAAAAGATATTTTATTATTTAATTTTATAATAATTTGTGATAATAATTATTCTTAAAACTAACATTAGCTTCTTGCAAATCTCTTTTGTAGGAAACCAAATAAATATTTAAGTTATCTATAAAAATAAGGACCCTCATGATTCTTTCACTTCAAAAATCTCTCAACTTTGTCCTCTAACAAGACTGATCTCTCTCAGTTCTTACTGAAAGCTACATACTGCCCAGGGCCTTGAGATGATGCTGTTATTATGGTGAGCTTGTTTCACAACTCAAGCATCAAAGGCCACCCTCACCTGATGCTTGGCCATCTCCATTCCCTCCAAAACCACCGTCTTAAAGTCCTCCTGTTTGTCCTGTGGAAGGAAAGAGGAGAACTTTCAGACTGCATTTCAGATATCAAAATAATACTTTGCCATGAAGGCCGTGCAGTTGCTTGGTTGGGTGCTGTGCTTCGGCTAGAAAAATCACCCGCCCCAAAGAGTCCATGGTCCAGAAACAGCAGACTCGGGAGTTAGTGTGGCCAAGGCACTATCAGACAGCAACAGCACTGCCAGTTTGTTCTTCTGTTTATTGCCAGTGGTGCCGAAGGAGGTTTTTAAGCGAGTCCTTCAGACAACAGACCCTGAGCAACACCACACTACATGACTCTGAGCATTAGAGTACCCTGAAGGAAAATTAAGATCCACTGGAAGATTTTGCTCAGAAACAATTATTTTCTAAGAAAAACCTGCAGCTCTATGCAGCGGTATCCTCCTTTGCACAAAGAAGAAATGGCCTGGAAGTCAGTATTCATTACCTCATGTTTATCTCATCATCATACCCCAGCTATATGTTCACAACTGCTGCTGTGACTAGAGGGTTCCAGAAATTCCAGGAAGTTTTCTGTAAGCATACTGTGCACACTGAAACGCACTGTGAAAGTCCTGACTTCAGGCATCTATCTCAACACACAGTACTTACCAGCATGAATATTTTATACATCATACATAATTTATAATTCGTGCAGAGAGGTTATCTGGAGTGTGACCAATTTCTAACAGGTACAGAACACTGCACTGAACATCAGGGTTAGAGGTTTTGCCTGATTCGCAGTCAGTTAAAACTGATTATTCCTTTATACATGCGAGAGGAGAAATTCTCATCCTAATGGTTCAAAAACAGTAAAATGAAGAATGCAGATGTGCTGCAAATACTTGTTTTATCCCCTATAGTTGTCAGCCTTGCTCAAATAGTTCATATCTGCCCGCAACTAAGTTATCCCTAAATTTTATGCAGCCACTTGTATACCAGTAGTTTCTTTACTCAGTGAAAACACCCATTAGAGACTATAAATGCAGCAGCTACAGCAAGCTGCCAGTGTTACAGCCCTGATGATGCCATCTATTGGCAGGGAAACCCAAAAATGAAACTTCAAGGCTTTCTCCCATACGTCTTTGAGCTTCCTCCCTGTTTCCCTGGCCCACCCAGCAACATTTGCCAGCCAAGGGCCTGACCAGGGGTCTGTGTCCTCACAGCAGGAGCAGCAAAGTAGCTGACAGCAATTCTTGTGCTTTGTGGCAGCAGAAGGAACTCCCTAGGACAGGGCTTGGCCAGCTCCCA